AACGGTGGGCTTTAAGAAGCCGTTCAGGTGGGATGGAATGAGTGAGATATTCAGGAGGAGGCTTAAGATGCCTTGCCAGACGATATGAGAGGCTGGTTGTGGGTTTGTGGTCCCCATGCATGATTTCAGTATCACAGATGCCTTTATATGCAGAACTTCAATATGGAAGAATGGTGGGTTTTATGTTGTTGTTTTTTTGCTGTTGGAGTAGGACTTCCATTGAATATTGTTTGCTGCATGTAGTCGATATTAGTGCAGAATCGTCTGGAGAGTAACATCAGTTCAGGATGAAATCACCAAATAAAGTAGAGGGACAACATTAATTTCATAACTACACAGTAGTAACCGTTTTTTCATAAGTAAGTGGTCGGTGCAGTGGTTTTACATCTTGAAGTCGGTTGCAAGAATCATGTTTACAAAAACATGTTATGACATTTTTATAACTGTATTTTACAACCAGGTAGGACGATGCTTCAATGACATTGCTGTTTCTACACAAAAGAGGAACAGATTCTTCAGCGAGCATTAAAACAAAATCAATAGAAAATGGAGGCCTAGGCTACACACAGGCTTCCGTATTGTGTTTTTTTTTCTCCCAGCAATTATGACTTAAATTCGTCATTACAGGATATGAATAGGTGATGAAGCAAAAATATAAGAAATATTTGCACAGGATAAGCTGGTTATGAATTGAAGCAGTTGATAAAAAGTCTTCGATATTACATCGCTCTGACATGTAGGTGAAGTGGGGGAAACCACTTCACTCCAATTCTAATGAACATTGCATAAAGAAGCCTTTAATGTCCATAGTTCAAAGTCCGCCCGCTCTTTAATCTTCAAAGAAGGTAAGTACACGAATGTCTTGAGTCGCTTAATTTCCATCACAAGAAGTACCGCTCTTGGAAATATTAATAACCCGCGTCCCTATTTCTTTGCAATCATGCAGTCAGATATTGTTCCATTGTGTGCCCTTCTTTCTAATCGGCGAAGCGTGTGCACGATTTGCGTGTGCACAATTTGATATTCTCCAAATAGCTTTATTTCTTTGAAGTTTCAGTGATTGTTCAACCTTCAAAGACATGATTGCCAGAAACGAGACCGTGATACACAAGGGGGGGGGCGTGTCTTTGCGTGGGGACGTGCCTTGCAAGCACAGAGTAAGGTTGTGTTGACATTTCTGGGTATACCTTTGCAGTGCTCGATTACCTTTACCACTTCACAATACCTTAATACTACTTGAGAGCAGGTGAGTACTTTACTGCGTAAATCTCAAGTGTTTCTCTGGGCTGGCTGATGGACGCTCCAAAACACGGCAAAGATAACAGCAACCCATTGTACAAAAAAAATATATGAAGAAGAAGAAGAAGAAGGGGTTCAACCGCCACCGGTTGATGCACCTTTCTATTTGTTCCTTTACAGCCTTTGCGCAAACTTATCCTTCGTTGAACTGTAAAGTTCTCGTATTTCTAGCATGTGCACCTCAGGCATGATAGCCCTACCATCAGTGAAGTAGTTAATTGCTAATTGCTTATTTATGAAAAAGCGAAGTCAGCTTCGGGCCCCTTTGCAAGGCAACGCAGTGTTGTTGTCTACATCGTATATCTGTCTTTCTCTCTTCACTATCACTTTTAGTTAAGCCTCCGTCTTAAGGTAAATATATTTAAGTGACGATGTACAGTTCGTTGCTCAGCTTCCGTAATGAAAGTCTACGTAGAAGGATCTTGAGTCTCCATAAGTTGAGCGCTACAAAAAGGGGTGATCTAAAGGTGGGGTTCGAAAGACAGGCGAAATTAAAGGATTACTTCATACTTATAGTGTGCTTACTAAAAGTGCCGCGTCAACTATTAGCATCACCCACTAATAAGTTGACAGCCATTTGTTTAATACCCACGGGCGTTTATGACGCAAGATGGACACATGATCGTTCTACACCAATGAAATCACTTGATATAACATGTAATCATGGAACATGGCACTGCTGGAACCAATCACAGAGATAAAGTTGGAATGGATGTCTATTTGCCCTTACAGTACCTGTTCTTTCTCCCTTGTTTCCATGAGAAATGAATTATTTGTCGTGAGGCTGCAATCAAAACCAGAAAATAGACCCTCGAGTTTGGGATTCCGGAGTGTACATCACTCGACGACGACACATGATTCTATGTCTGGTACAGAAAAACAAAATCAGCGGTGAAAAGAAAAACGGGCTACAGACGGTCACCTTGGTCAACACGGGGATGTTGCCCGCAAAGTGGATACCTCCATGAGATATTTGACTCACGATTGCATTGGACGGGTTGTGCCTGGATATGACTCCATCGGTCGCTGTCCCCTGTGGGACTGCATCTCAGAGTCTCAAGACAATCTCATCGTTCTCAGGAGGATGGAGGGAGGAGAGAGTAGTTTGAGCGTTCAAAAATCTTATTAGCTCGTGTGAGACATCAAATGTGATTTGATCGGGACTGATCCCCGGCCTGCCACAGTCGCGAAAACCTGTCTCTTTTTATTTATCGCTTGTTGTATGTTCGCTAAATACACACATACCGTGCTTTAGGTTCGTCAATTGCTGGGCAGAGTCCTGTAAAGTAGGGTTCTTTCAAGAGATTAATGTGAATGTGGTACGTGGAGAGCATGATTAAATAGCGAACTGTACATGAATCAAAGATATGAATCTGACGTGGCTCTTGGGGCAGATCTCCCCCAGAATTTCTGTAAGATGTGAGTTTGAAGGAAACATCCGAAATGCGGGAGGAACTGTGGTTGTGTCCTCACTTGCAAATGATTATTTTCAGAGGAATCTCAGCTAACCTCTGTTATTTTGGCTACGTCTTGAACAGTTTTTGCAAGGAGAGTTTTGGCAGTGGTCTGATTTTTTTTCACATTTCCTGGTATTTAAGGGATACAAATCGCGCCTTTTATATCGTCGTTCAACGGTAAAGAATAACACAATCCTTCATTGGTTTCTGTTTCCCGGACGCCGCTGAGAGTAGATTAAACAAAAAGTCTGGAGCTTAATATGGGACTCATCGGGTAGATTTGCTTCTGCAAAGACCTTGTCAGGACAGGGGCGAGTTCTCATGGCAAGAGTCAACACATTAGTCTTGAGTTTAGCGATCTGATGACCTACCTGCTCCACAGCAACAAATTGCTACCGAAGAAATTTGGTCCTAAATGCTCAATTTCAGAGTAGATTCATCATTCTTTCCCTGACTGGGGTGGGGGAGAGTCTTTATGCCATGGCCGACTGCAACAGATCATTTGCCGCATAAGGGTCCTCGATTTTGTAGGCCCCAGGGAAGTTATTATTACCATTTTTTTTGTAGTTCTTTAATTTCATGAAATATGAAACGTGGTCAATGTGTATCTACGTGGTTTATTTAATTCCGTTTAAAATTGGCAAGGTATAACCTTTGAATAACTTCTGATACCAGGTTAGGTTTTTATTGTTTCATTTATTGTTAATGAAAAGTGCTAGTAACAGTGTAGTAAAATCCCAAGCGATATTTCTGCCAAAGCGTGGAGAAGAAAATAGCATAGGTCTTTTATGTCTTTAAATTTTAAAAATATTTCAATTTATTGCCTTAACGTAAGTCATTGTTAGACACGTTGTGACGTACGGTTGCCATATGAACGTTAAGCCATCTCTGTTTGAGTGTCATATCGCGTGTACTTCTCTGATAGACTTATGGATTTTTTTTAAAATGCTGAAGCTTTGAATCAACTTTAGAATGTTTTGTATTTGGATTAGATAAACCCTAGCGATTTCAGGTTGAATACCTGCTCAAACGAACGCACATCTGCATATGGTATAATCATTCATCTGCCATTCAATGGGCATAGAGAACTTGATATCGGTAATATCAGATGAAACGTCCGAATGAAACGTATTATAGAAAAACAAAATACAATTTTGATAGGAAAGACCATTTGCCCTGATGTAATCTTTTGTTTCCATTGTTCAGATAAACTTCATGACGTCACAGGTGAATATACCAGGGTGGATTAAATATATTTTGCATTGAAGGTTACGCCGCGGGTTTGCCATTAGCGTCAAGATATGCGATTTTATTTTCGGGAATAAAACCAACGAGCACATATATTTTTGTAAAAGCTACTAACTGAAATGAAAAAAATAAGAACATTTTTTTTAGTATCCCACAAGCATAAATTGCAAGTTAGTGCTTAAATAGTGGCTCCCTGGTTTATTTCGTGAGAAGTACAACACTGAGTTCCATTAATATATAAAATAAAAGTTATAGCCAAACCTCGCAGAAGCAAAAACAAAAGACTCCGGTGTTATTGAAAAAAAATTGCCTTTATACGTACTTGTCTACAATGTAATATGTTGTGATCGCCAAATGTCTGAATGATTGGTACGTAACATCACGAGCTTTAGTTTGTGGAAGGGGAAGAATTCGTGTTTGTATTTGGTCGCCAAATGCAATTCCAACAAGGCCCTATCAAAAGATACGTTTGCTGTTTGATCATTTGTAAAAGCCCCTTCCATCATTGTATAGTGTACTCATTCCACGAAGAAATGGACTTGTAAAACAAAATCCTCTCCAAGTTTAAGTTGCTCTTGTCTTTATTTTGATTACAATTTGTAGATTACGTTGAGAATATATTATGCTGCTTCACGTGTGTAAGCACTCCCCTTTATTGTTCACAGTGTATTGGAAACTTTGCTAATCTAGTAAGATTTGAAAGTTTGTGGACTTATACAGATTAAATGAAGAGGGGCTATTGCTTTAATTAAGGCACAGTGTAACTGTTTAAATAGTGTTTGTAGTCATTTCGTCTCACTTCTAAAGTAATGAAGTGGTCGATTTGAGACACAATTTTCTTTTTTAAGTTTTAAGCCCATTGAACTTCGTTTTAACACTGATTTCATCTGCCGTTTTGAATAGTTGTGCCCGTATAGGTTATTGAAACACGTGGCCATGATCTTATTTCGTTTTGTCAGTTGCGTATAAAGCACTTTTCTTTTTCTTTTTCCCCAGGCGAAGGATCAGCTGGTTATACTCATCATCACGTGGTATAAGCAAAACTCAAGAGAGTCTTACGGTCATGGAGGAAAGTACGTCAGAAAACGCCTTGGCGGTGCTTACTAATGGCACCACTTCAGGAGACGGCGTCGTACCAAACAAAGTGTTGTTTGTCGTGATTTTTTGTATCTTCTGCGTGTTTGGTGTCATCGGTAATGGCAGCTTGGTGTTTCTGGTGATCCGCTTCCCTCATCTACGAACCATGCCTAATATACTTATGATCAATCTGACTGTTGGGGACCTGCTATTCATAGTCGCCACATTACCGACCATTATCCAACATGAGTTGGGTATTGTAGCTCAGTACGAAACCGAAGCTATGTGTAAGTTTGTCAACTTCTTGCCCGTGTTTGGTACGGGTGTCTGCGTGTATTCTATGACAGCACTGAGCGTGGAGCGGTATCTAGCCATCGTACGGGGTTTAGAGATGCGATCAGTAAGGACAAGTCGACGGGTCTTAGCGGCAATGATTTTCATCTGGGGAATGACTTTGGTAGTTAGTCTACCAGTCCTGATATCCGCTGGTTTCCTGTATGAGGAACTAGGCCTACCAACACTCTGTTCTGACATGGTACCAGGACACCCTGCATCAATTTCTTACGCCAGTGTTCAGATTACCTTATTGTACATATTGCCACTCATAACCATGATATTCTGCTATACGCAAATTGCCATGTTGCTGACGAAAGGGTCGCGGGAAACCGACTGTAATAGTCGCAGCAGTACCAACTACAAAGCTCGTAAACGATTGGCTATTGCCATGATAGTCATGGCAGCTTTCTTTGGAATTTTCTGGTTTCCGAGCAGCGTTTTCAAACTGTATTTCCAGGTGAATTTTGAGGCAATTTTCACTCTGAATGACCCGTCACAGCTGGCAGGCTTTCATTTCTTTCGTCGTATCAGTCGCATATTCGCTTACACAAACTCATGTTTCAATCCCTGGATCCTTTATTTCATCAGCACGACTCATCGGAGGGCCATTGCCAGTTGTCTGTTTTGCTGTGGTAACAAGAATGCTGATGAAAATGGCGCATACCGCATGGTACGCATGCGCACTAACGGCAGGACTGTCACAACGTTTCATTCGTACACCAGCGAGACGGGTGCCAACAGGACAACTATTAAACCAGAAGATATCTAACGTTGCATTTGATTGGTTAATATCAGAAAACAGTGACTTAAGACAATGTTGGACTTGCAAAATTAAGTTCAGTTTTGAAGTTGAAGAGTTTAATGTTGAATGTAACCATTCTGTAAATACGAACTGCGTTAAACACGTAAACTCGAAGTTAATGTTTAAGTACAGGTTTTAGGGGAAAAACGCTTAAACTAATCGGGTAATCTTTTACGGGTGGAAATTGATGGAACCCTGCTTTTACGTTCTTGCTGATTTTTAGGGTTCAGTTTTTGATTCAACTATCCTCAAATGACATGTTTAAAGGCATGGGCGTCGCAAGGGGGGGGGCAAGGGGGCGCTTGCCCCCCCCCCCCGGAAAAAAAAAAAAAAAAAAGAAGTAAAAAAAGAGAAAAAAAGAAAAGAAAAAGAGGCGCGAGGTCATAGTGGTGTACATTTAATGAGTTGGGGGGGGGGCAAAATGTCCCTGCCCCCCTCTAAAACTGATAAATCGAGAATTTGTTGAGAAATACATGAATTTTTGGGGGAAAATATGTTTTGCCCCCTCTAGAAAAAAGTCCTGGCGACGCCCGTGTTTAAAGGCGTGAGAGAAAGACTGATATGATGTGTTTTCTTACTTGAACTGTGTGAGTTTCTCATGAGACAATGTATGATGTACAGTGAGGATGACTCTGGGATGAAAAGATGTTGATAGCCATAAAATGGATGAAAACCAACAAGGATGATGAGATTGTATTACAATTGGTAAGATAGAAAATGAGATGAATTTTCTACAAGACGAAATAAAGGATGATAACAGAATGTCAAATTGCTGTATGTCAGAGAAAAGAAAAGAACCAACAAAAATCTTTATTTTTGAAAGGAGGATTTCTTTCGAGCTTCTTGAATTCTTTTTTCAGTTTTTGTGTGTTTGCACATTCTCGCAAAACTTCCACGAAATTCCTAAGTGTTTTCCGCAGAAAGGTTTTCGGTTATTGTGTTAATGGAGCAGAACCCCAGTCAGAAAAGTGTGTGGGAGAAGAGAGGCGGAAAGGAAGAGAGTTGTGAGGGAAATGAAAGAGAAAACATGTAATAACATTTGCAAACACGGGCAAAACGGAAAACCGGCTGTGTGAATGTAATAAATACGTTTTTAGAGTGAAGTGCGAGAGCTGACCAAAAGTTGAATGTGGTAATTTGAGGACCTGAAACCATTATTGTGTTGATTTCTATATCGTTGGCTTTCAATATTAAAAAAAGAATTTTGCATTATTGGGTTTATGTAAAATAAAGATTACGCATTTTGTAAAAAAAAAAAAAGAGGTTAATCTCAATTGTAAAGGTATTTTATTCTTTTAACAGGGTACACAAAACACGTTTGGAAGTGGTCTAATTATAGTACGTTTTATGGAGAAACTTTTATTTGCTTGCAAATTAATCAACACAAATTGTGTTGTTGTAAACGAGGTCTATTAGAGGGATTTGTATGAAATGCACTTAGGTACCGACAATTCCTGCCACACTTTTATCCGCCGCACATTGTGGCAATAATTATTGTAGAAATGATTTCATTGGATTGGTAATAATTGTGTTGTCTATTGAAAAAAGTATTTGGCGAGTAAATTTCATGAATATGGTTTAGGTAATTTCCATGAGCAGTTGAGTCAAAATTCGTAAGATTGTACTCAAATGGATCGAGTAAATCTGTCGCTCAATAATTCTTGAATGCATTTCCTTTGTAGGTTAATATATTTAGAAAAACACTTAAAATTCTTTAACGCGTCAAATTTCAATTGCAAACAGGATATGAAAAAAAGGCTTTCAAATGTTTTACCTTGAAAAGTCAGTTTCCCATTTAGTTCCCTAAATACGGTACGGTACCGTATATACTACATTAATCAATAATCCTTAATAACCCATGACAGTATTAATTTTGTACACTGTCAAGTGTTCGGTCCGCTGTGAGAACTGTACAAATATTACTATAAAAAATATAGTCAAGACCATGAAATTAATGTCTAGCTGCAATTACAAATACCCGGGTAAGCATGTTAAAACATCTTGGAGCGTTCGACTAAATAAAGGTAATTCTTTTTCAGTTTGGAATGACTGTTAATGCTAAGATTGTCCCTTTTCATAGCCGCCTATTTAACTCGGTATGCCAGTATTTTAGTTGACAAGTTATATTTTCCATGGCTGTGCCCAAACGGATGCAAATAGAGGCTGCAATCTTGGGTTGATAAGACCTCTAGTTGCTTTCTTTAGAAAGAATTAATGATAAAGGAAAATCTGCATAGTCTATGTAAATATTTTGTGGCATGTTCGGTTTGCAAGCACACTTCAAAATTAATACAATTTTCAAATGGGTACGTATAACCTGTGTTTAATCATTTAGGCCCATCGGTTGAACCGAGGGAAAAGGCACCTCGTGTTATACGTACATTTTTTTAAATGACTCTGTAGATATTATATTATGAAAATTGATTTTAATTGTAGTTTAACTTGGTATTTTATGGTTACATGGGGATTCCGTGGTAACTGTTTACACTTAAAAAATAGTAGTTTTTGCCCTGGGCAATATTATAAATAACTTCTTTGTTGTCATGGTAGTTAAGGATTGCTTTCGAGACTTCCAGCCAATCACTGCAAGGATAAACACTGAAAAACAGTTCCTCCTAGTTTGATTTTGTTTTCGAAACAAAAATAATATAATGAACTTTCCTAATTTTCTCAATGATTCTCAATTATAACAGAAGGAAGAAATAGCAATTTTAATCATTATAAGTACTATTGGACAAATTGCATGACGGGTAATGCAAATAATGCAAGCGACCTAATGGGTCGGTTTTGACACAGTTGCAACCATTATAAATGTACATGTGTGTCAAAGCGGTTCATTATTCATGATTTGGGCATAGGGGGATAATATTGGACTTAGGTCACTGAGATTGTTAAAATATATGTGAATTAATAGAGAGGTTTAACAATGTAAATATGCACACTTTGAACTGTATTATACGGAAGCCCCCCAGTGCCATTGCATATAATACAAAGCCGGATTATGTTGTTCCGAATAACTTTCACTGGCACTTACGGGCTTTCGCATTATCACAAGAAAAAAAAAATATGTACATAATTATATTTATGGCACCGAATGAATTCTATGTCTTTAGTTTGATTGCATTAGGCAACGACGGAGAGTTTCACACTAAATAAAAGACTAAGCAGAGTTTATTGTCTAAGTTGTTTATGTCTCTTTACTGAAGCTAGTATCACTCTCTATCTCAATTCATTGAGATCTCATATGTCCATTTGCACTCACCGCTATCCTTCCACTTAACTTAATCAGCTTCTCTCTCACTCTAACTCTCTCCAATAAAAGCCATCGAGTACCTAATTCTTTCCGACCCTAAATGTCGAGTGCAATCCACAAAAGTTACAAAATGCTTGATACTTATGTGAAGTCATATGCCCTATATTGATCCCATTCGGATGGCTCTGTCTAGACTACTTATAACGACATCCAGTGAACTGATTCCCGCGTACTTGTATACTATTATATTACTAAATGTACCATTAGGGAGACACCTTATCGTTATTTTTTTCGATAACAGGGAGACACCGGCTTTGAGGGAGACACATAACTGTCCCTAATGGCACAGCCCCCCTTTAGAGGCAAAATGTTATTTTCGCAATTTAGGTAATATTTGTTGCTCGTGGTCTAATTATTAAAAAATACCGAAATTCGTGGAAAAAAGGACAAAGGAAAATTGGGTTAGGGCACATTTTAAGTTAAAAAACATTTGTGCTCAAGTCTATGGGAAAGTCTCCCTAATCACCCATTTTCCGTTATTATTATTAATCATTTCTGGTAATGAAATCAAGGATTCCTCAAAATCGCCCTAGGCACTGTAGCTCGCACGCCTGTGGAGAGAAGACAATGAGAAGAAATGACAGTTTTAGAGGTGGGAGGAAAAGCCCAGAAGAATGTCTGGATAAAACCGAAGGAATCAGGCAGGGACCGTAGACCCAATCCACATTATTGGTCCAGGCGGGATTCGAGCACGGGTCACAGCGGTGGAAGGCGAGGAAAGTACCGCTACGCCAGCCTGACTCCCCGATCCCCTTATACGATAGATTAGCGCGTATTATGGGCTTTAAACGCGTGAGATGACCGTACCTGTCAAAGTGCGCACCGCAGTAATGGCGCTCAAGCGTCCTTCAAATCGGCGCTTCCTTCCGTCATTTTCATCGTTGAGGGGGTACTTTTGTGCTGAGCTCATTCAGGTTTGATTAATTAAAAAACAAAATTGGCGAGAATGCAGAAAACATAACGGTCTCATTTTAATCTAACCACTTTCCCTTTGATTTAACATAGCTCTGTGTTCTAAATGTATATTTCTGGATATCTGGCCAATTATGAAAGAGAATTCAGTTGTTAATTGTGTCGGCATTAAGGTTTCGTACTGAAGCTTTCGTTTACAATTAAATTAATTCCCAAATGTATAAGAGCAACCATCGTCACGCACTAGTAAACTGCGATGCATCTTTAATTCGACAAGCCATTGACCACGCCCACCTTTTGGCTAATTAATGCAACGTAAATGTAAGCGACCGTGCAGTAACAGTCATTTTGTAAATTGAAAGGCGGTAAAAGGAACGCAACGTCCTTCCTCGTCGTTTGGGGATTTCCGTTCAACCGCCGTCTCCCAGGCCCAGCGCGGTATATTAATTCGTTTATGGAAATTGCAGCTGATAGTAATTGATGGAGCATGAAACATTAATGAAAACCTTACATGCATTACAGGCTTTAAAGGGCGGTATGTTATTGTAACCTAACCGTAACATGAAATTGAGCAGCTCTTTGTTATTTCGTGTCACATTCTGAGTTGTATGCACCAAACCATGCAGCTGAAATGCTCGCAATAAAATGTTTTGCAAGGATAAGTTGTTCAAATATGTTGAGCTTTAATTTGAGATACCTCTCATCCATTTGTCATCCCCATCATCATCCTCATTAATTCAATTGAACTGTCGAAGCTAATTGAGTCATAGGAGTTGTATGTTCCTCTCATCATAATTCGATTTGTACTGGATCGTAAGTTGAGGTTATTTGTTAGTATAGGCCTAACTGCCATAGCAATGAAGGAAAGAGGATGAAATCCTCCCGGATGAAACCAAACTGCTCAAGATGACTCTGGCATGTTTCTCTTCCTGTTGGACTCAACCACTGGAGAATCCTCTTCTCGGTGACCTAGAAACTCCGGCTCACCACGGTGGACAAGCCACGCTCTTCCCAACGGATGCACTTAACGAACTCGCGTGGCCTTCTTGTAAAGAGGGGTAAAATGTGCTCAAATAAATG